TAGTCATTCTTTGCCCCTCTCTGGCAGCGGCTGAGTCTGGGCAATCACTGCCCTATCATAGCCCTATTATAGTTTTTGTCAGTTTATGATCAGGTTTATAATGTTTGCACAGGTCATCAAGAATTATCAGAGATTATAATTAACATTATTGGGGTATATAAAAAATTAAACATCCACACTAATAACATTGTGCAATCCACTTAGCTGGTTAACTTAAATAAGACCTGTATTGCATTGTATTGGTTTGATTCAAAATGTAGTCTCCCTACTAGCTAGACTACCATTGCAAACCATCATTTTAATTACTTAAAACTACAAAATAAAAGAAATCAAGAAATAAAACACTTACAAATGGCCTCACACAAGTATAAACTCACCTGATTATAAACTCTAGAGACTAGAGTCACTTGAGATGAAACTCAGAGACAAGAGTGAAGAAAATCAAAAAGTGAAAGAGGTTGGGTTTATATAACATGTACTATACAGTTGCTGACAAATCTTTTCCACACTTCCAGGTGGTATCAGGGCATTTCATGGTAGTTAATGATATATATGACAAGCATAGATATTAATGATTAAATGTGTTGACAATTTCCATAGGGCATGATGGATTCATTCCAGTTCAAAAGTGAGCAAGCTGCATGACAACTATTTCTGGATAAGTGCTGTTTGTACTACACATGTAAACAAAAATGCTGAGTGGAGCATAGGGCCAAGTGGTTTAACATTTTGCATGCAGCTGGAATTGGAGGTGCCAATCCCCAACTCTAGATGATACCTTGTGACTAAACAAGGTGCCAAGAAAGTAGAGTTGCACAAGGAATACATACAAGCAGTGAATTTTAGAAGGTACCTGTAGTATGTACAAATGCAAGCTATGATTTTATGACTCATTTCCATGTCCTGTTCTGCTGACTTGGACTTGTTTAGCATCAACAACTGCCTTTTGACAAAATTTGCCAGAAAAGTGGACTAGACAAGAATTCAACCCATGGCCTCCAGCTTAGTACCATGCTTGCTACCATTTGACACTCCCACTCAAACACAGGGGCTTGACAATCTATTGCTGAGGCAGAGCAATTTCACTTTTTCTGTAATTAACAGTCTGATCCTAGTGACCTGGTTAAAGTGTCAGACTGGAGAACAACATTGCTGCTACCATGACAAAATTTGCCAGAAAATTGAACTAGATGGGGATTGAACCTGTAACCTCCAGCATAGTACAATGGTGCTCTTCCAACTGAGCTTCCAGTCTGTCTGTCTGGAAGGGGTTGGTCTGGGGCTTGCTGCTGGCCTTGCACTCATCCTTGAAGTTGGGCACTTTGAAACACAGTACAGTAAGCTCCAGAATCCAGAAACTCAGAGCACAGCCAGAGTCACTTGGAACCATGCAGGCCCACAGCACCTGTCTGGAGTCTGCTCAGACTTCATTTGGACTATTGTCACATCATCTTTCCAAGTCCTACTATCACTCTGTAGTTTTCAGGGGTATTTCCATCCTTGTCTTACATTGCTTAACTCCCCATTCCACATTGTATATGACAAAAACTATAATAGGGGAGTGATTGCCCAGACTACTAAGCATTAGTTATGAGTAGTAAATAGGTATGAAATGAAACTCACCTCAGCTGCTGCCTAAGAGGGGCGAAGAATGACTGAGGAATCTGAAGTGAGAAATAGGTATATATACAGTGGCTCAAAAAACTGTCCACATGTTTGGAATTTTTTCACTAAACACAATATTCTCTGATACCACCTAACCATAACCTTAAACTATGAGTGCATTAAATACAGTACCTATTCTTGGCTTTCTATTGGTTCAAGGATCAAGGATCAAGGGTAAGGTTTAATGAAATGGCAGCCATTTCAAAATGATGACCCATTCAGACAGTTTTTTTGATTTTATATAAATCTGGGTATCTAGTACTTGGTATGACCTCCTTTGGCCTTGATAACTGCTTGAATCCTTCTAGGCATACTTTCTATCCATTTTTGACACTGTTCCTCATCAATTTTTCCCCACTGCTCTGCTACCCTTTCCCATAATTGATGAACTCTTGTAGGAGCACTTTCATAAGCTGAGAGGCATCTCTTGAGGTGATTCCAAATATGCTCAATGGGGTTGAGATCTGGAGACTGTGCAAGCCAATCCAGAATATTGATCCCCTGCTCTTCAAACCACATTTTGGCCCTCCTAGAGGTGTGCTTTGGATCATTATCTTGTTGAAAGATAGTGTCACATTTTGAAGTTCCAGATTCCTCCATGCTTTGCAGGAACCCATGCTCCAAAATGGCCATATACTGTTCAGCATCCATTCTCCCCTTCACCTCACTCAAAACCCCCACTCCATTCCACCCTGTTCAGCCCCATACCATCAGTGAACCCCCTCCAAACTTGACTATACCTTTGACCTCTGGCATTCAGCCCTTCTCCCTTCTTTTTCCACACATACTCTTGCCCATCTGACCATATAAATCTCTTCAAATCCTCCACAGTCCAATGCTGGTACTTGAGAGCAAAGCCTAACCTTCTTTTCTTGTAACCACTAGAAAGTAGGGGTTTCTTCTTCTTCTTTGCCACAGCCTTTAATGAGGCTTCCTTGAGGGTATTTCTCACAGTCTGGGGGAAGACAGGAGCATCAATGATAGAATTGATGTATTGAGTGGCATGAACAGCATTTTTGGCCTTGCCAGTAATGATTTCTGAACAATAGCCCTCTTGTTGGTAGGGGTAAGCTTTGAAGGATGGCCACCATGAAGCCTAGTCATCTCTGGCTGGAGTTTCTGAAGAAACTGGCATACTGTAGACTTCCCTAGACCAGTTTGGGAAGCAGTTTTCCTAGATGAAAGACCAAGAGAGGATAGAGTAATGGTGTTGTTTTTTTGAGAAGTAGAGATGGACTTCATGGTGATGGTGGGGAAAACTATGCTGATGTGGCAGTCACAGGACTTGAAAGTTGCTTGTGGTCAATGTTTCCCATGGTTCCCACCCTAGGTCACCCAACACAAGCAACTGAGTTGCTCACACAGCAGCACCTCTCTTTGGTTATGTTCATTCTACTTGCTGAAATCTCTTTTGTCTGGCATTCCAACCACACATCATTAGCTACAGTGGCTCAAACAACTGTCCCAATGTGTGCATGTTTTTCACTAAAGTCAATACCCATAAATACCCCTTATCCTAGGCCATAACATATGAGTGTATAAAATAAAGTACTCACTCTTGGCTTTCTATTGGTGTAAGGGCCAAATGATTTGGTAAGCATTTGATGCAATGGCAGTCATGTCAAAATGACAAATCATTGGGACAGTTGTTTGACTTTGTATAAAAAAGGGTATGTAGTACTTGGTATGACCTCCCTTGGCCTTGATAACTGCTTGAATCCTTCTAGGCATACTTTCTATCCATTTCTGACACTCTTCCTCAGAAATCTTCCCCCACTCTACCACCACCCTATCCCATAATTGATGAACCCCTGTTGAACCCCTATCATAATCTGAGAGGCATCTTTTGAGATGACCCCAAGTGTGTTCAATGGGGTCAAGGTCTGGATACTGAGCAAGCCAATCCAGCAGCTTGATATCTTGCTCCTCAAACCAGATCTGGGCTCTTCTGGAGGTATGCTTGGGATCATTATCCTGCTGAAGATGACATCATCTGCAGGAATTCCAGAATCCTCCATGCTCTGTAG